TTCCTACTTCACTGATGAGGAACTAAGACTGGAGGCCACAGTCTTGGAACTGGGGCCTGACTGCAGACTCTGAGCTCCTAATTCCTCAGGAAGGTGGATGTGTTCGGTCAGCACTGGGAGGAAAGGAGATGGAAGGATGGACTTCTTGCTCTCCTGTCCCCTCCTGAGGACTGGCAGCGCAGGCTAGGATGCACCAGTCGCCCGGCCTGAGGTCCCCTGCCTGGGTTTCAGAGGCTGTGCTGGCAGCAACCATGCGTGAGGGCGCCCAGCCATGTTGCTGCCTTTCAATGGACCATTAAAAAAAAAAAGTGAGGCCGGGCGTGGTGGCTCAAGCCTGTAATCCCAGCACTTTGGGAGGCCGAGGCGGGTGGATCACAAGGTCAAGAGATCGAGACCATCCTGGTCAACATGGTGAAACCCCGTCTCTACTAAAACTACAAAAAAAAATCAGCTGGGCATGGTGGCGCGTGCCTGTAATCCCATCGACTCAGGAGGCTGAGGCAGGAGAATTGCCTGAACCCAGGAGGCGGAGGTTGCGGTGAGCCGAGATCGCGCCATTGCACTCCAGCCTGGGTAACAAGAGCGAAACTCCGTCTCAAAAAAAAAAAAAAAAGTGGCCGGGCATGGTGGCTCATGCCAGTAATCTCAGCATTTTCACTTTGGGAGGCCAAGGCAGATCATGAGGTCAAGAGTCCGAGACCAGCCTGACCAACACAGTAAAAAACATTCTCTGCTAAAAGTATAAAAATTAGCTGGGCATGGGGTAGTCCCAGCTACTTGGGAGGCTGAGGCAGGAGAATTGCTCGAACCTGGGAGGTGAAGGTTGCAGTGAGCAAAGATAGTGCCACTGCACTCCAGCCTGGGTGACAGAGAGACTGTCTCAAAAAATAAAAAATAGCAAAAAAAAAAAACCTTTATGTATCTTTATTCGATACTATATGTATCTTTTTATTTAAAATGTAACTGATCAGAATTAGTTATGTTTTTCAGTGTGTTTATTTATTTATTTTGGTTTTGATTCAGCTTTTTATTGTGAAAAGATCTGAAACCTGCAGTGAAGTCACAAGAATCGTGAAATGACGCCTTCTGGCCCCAAGGGGTGGTCAGTTTGCTGGGCAGTACTTAGACCTCCCAGCCCCCGGCCTCACCCCATCTTCCTTGCCTCATTTTGGCCCCCACGCCTCCTGCACAGGAATGGGCTGCCCACTGGGCAGTTCTAGAATGGAGCAAGGCTCAGGGAAGGGGTGAGGATGTCTGCTTCAGACAATGCTTGGTAATTAAGAGGCCTCTTCTTGAGGCCATCCATGAGGTCCCTGCATCACACAGCTCCCAGCCAATGCCCACCCCAACGGCACAGAACCACAGCCCTTCCGCAGCCTCTGAGAATGCGGCAGTGAGACAGCCTGGCTTGGCCTGCTGTTCTGAGGTCAAGATCAACAGTGCCACCAACCAATGCTCTCAAACTTGTGTCTCCTTCCCCACCCAGACACATGCACACTGTCCCTTGTGGACAATGTATCATAGGATTACTCTATGACCCTACCTCTCTGCCTGCAGCCAAAGCCTGGAAAGTGAAGGGAGGTCCAGACAGACCCAGAGGGCCGGCCAAGGTTTCAGCGCCTTCCCCACATGCTCCAGCCTTTTAACTTAATGCACCCAAACATTAAGCACACTTGAAGGGCAGCCACTTTAACTTCCAGGACTGACGACTGAGTCCCAGGGTGACTGCAGCCTCTGGTCACCGGGGAGTGGGAGCCATGATTATAGGCTGAAAGATGCTACTGAGATGGATGCCTTCTCCACTCCAGGGGAATGGGTCAGATGGGGCACCATGCTGGGCCCTACGCAGGGCAGCAGCTCTGCCTTCACAGAGAAGGCACAGAACAGGAGGTAAGGGGTCAAGGCCTGTGAAACTCTGCTGAAAGATGAAGCAACACTTGTTGCTAAAAATCAGTAGGAGATTCTGGCCAGGAAGAGAGCCAAATCAGATGCACGACTATCATGTATCTGACACTGTGCTGGACACTTTACATATAAAATTTAATCCTCACCAAGCTCGACATGGTTATGACTTTCTTTCTTAATCAGGATGGATGAGGGTCTGCTTCAGCAACAAACAACCCCCAAATCTCAGCAGCTATACAGGAGAAAGATTTTATTTCTTGCTCACACTATTAACACATGCATCATGGTTCAGGCGGCAGTCAGTGTTCTCAATTCCAGTCCCAGGAACCCAGATGACAGAGCTGCCACCATGTTGCCAGTCACTATGCCGAAGGGCAGAGAGAGAGCTCTGGAAAGCATTGCACTGGCGAGTAAATGCTTGGCCTGGAAGGCCACACACCACTTGTATTCACATCTCATTGGCCAAAACAAGCTACATGCCTTCACTCACCCGCCAGAGAGCCAAAAAGTCCAATCCTGCCATATGCCATACTATTTCTGTAAAAAATGTACAGATAAGAAAATAGAAGGTCCGGGCACAGTGGCTCACGCCTGTAATCCCAGGACTTTGGGAGGCCGAGACAGGAAGGTCAAGAGATCAAGACCATTTTGGCCAACATGGTGAAATCCTGACTCTACTAAAAATACAAAAATTAGCTGGGCGTGGTGGCGGGCGCCTGTAGTCCCAGCTACTTGGGAGGCTGAGGCAGGAGAACTGCATGAACCTGGGAGGCGGAGGTTGCAGTGAGCCAATATTGTGCCACCGTACTCCAGCCTGGTGACACAGCGAGACTCCATCTCAAAAAAAAAAAAAAAAAAATACATAAAGAAAATAGAAGCTTACAGGTTAATGATAATGGCAACAACGGTGTTAATCACAGTTGCTTAGTACTATGTGCTGGGCACCGTCTCAGTGCTTCATGTGTTAACTCACCTCATCCCTACTCGGCCTTAGGTATAATCATCATCTACATCTCACAGCTTAGGAAACTGGGCAGGAGGTGTTAAGCAATTTGCCCAAAGCTACGCAAGGAATGGGAGCAGAGCCCTGGGCTCTGGCTTGCTGAGTCTGTTCCCATAACTACACTATGTGAGTTGACTGACCCAAGACTGGGGAAGGGGCAGTGTTCAAATCCACGCCATCTCACTCTTTACTGAGCACCAAAGGGGACAGAAGAGCTGTTAGCGGGGCCTCAGCCCTGTGTCCACCAGCAGGTCCCAGCAACAGGACACCATCCTCTCTGTCTACCCCTTGGGCAGCCTTCTCCACCAGCTTCTCCACCAGGACAGTGGGATCCCGAAGAGGATTACATCCCCAGGCCCCACAAAATCCACTTCTCTCCTGTGGGTCACTGGTCCTAGTAGAGAGCAGCCTCTGTGGTCAGATGGGGAATCAGGGTTGAGAAAGTTCACCTCAGAGAAAGGACCTACCCAGGGCTTGCCTAGCTACTGGAAGACAGCATATGGATTTGGCCAGCTCACCAACATTTTTTTTTTTTTTTTTTTTTTAAAGAGAACCCATCTTGCTAAGAGGATAAGTCAGCTGAGCCCTCCCATGGGAGGAGCTGTCCAGGCCACACATCCAGCCCGCAGCAGGTGCAGAGGTGGCCATAATGGGCAGCACCCGTCTTTCTGCCCAGCATCCTGTCTTCTTGAGTCGGGGCACCACAGAGCAAGTGAGAGGCCAAGAGCCACACCCAGGAGCTCCATCGTGTTGTCTTTTACTGATGTAACATCGAGGAGCAAGACAGAAAAGATGCGAATGCCCATGACCACACCACCTAACCAGGATGACCGGGGAAGAGGTGGTGGACGGGGACACACAGCCTAGTTCCTGGGGAACGAAAAACTCTTATTCATCGTATGTGTAAGGCATAGATATGTGGTATTAAAGTGCAATGAGGCGGCTGGGTATCAATTAGGAAAAAAAAGCCTAAAAAGGCTTAGGGGTAGGGAGGTGCCAACAAGATTGAGGATCACTGCAAACAGAACTATTTTCACTTTGGCATATTATTTTCAGTTTTTATCCCAAAACAAACACTTCTAAATTACTGCAATTGCAGAATATTGTTTTATACTGGTTTTGGCTGAAGTTTTCACATAGTTGCCGTTTTCCTATCCTTCACTCACTCCTGAACAAAGACTGATGAAGGACCTACAAGCGCAGGCACGGGGACCCAGCCTCCCGGAGCCCTCACGAACCTTCGTCTAGTGTCTTTGCGGTTGTCGACTGTAAACTGCAATGTCTGTGAAAACCTATCACTATGGTTTACAAATCCATTCACCATAATTGTCTGAATTTTTATCCAAGGAAAAAAAAAGTCTTTGCTTCCGTTGGTTCACTGTATTCTCTTGAGATAAATCCTTTCAAGAAAAGTGATAGTTTTTTTATGTCATACTGTCCTAAAAGTTCTGATTACCAGGTAGGCCACCCGCAAGCCACACTTAAACCACCCTGCAACGAAGAGGCTTCGTTCAGCTCAGGGAGGGGTGGCAGCCCCTCTGCATCCGTCCAGGCCGACGGAAGCTGCCGCCTGGCTTCTACCTGCCACATCCGCTCCCTCTCAGCTTGGGGGTGCTGCCCTGGCTTCTTCTGGACCCCAGAGTTGGGAGTCATCTGCAAGCCCAGCTGCTGCTCCAGATGGGAGTAATGTCAATAAAATGGACACCACTGCTGTCACCACAGAGGGGACAAAAAGCTCGGTACTCAGGTTCACCCATCTGGCAAAGTAACTCATTTCCCTCCACTTAGCCAGAGCAAGCCAGAGAGAGAAACAAAGAGGGGCAGACAGACTGGATCCCTCCTAAGCAAACATGGTGTCCTGAGGAGGCCTCCCCCTGGACAACAGGACTGGCCTGGCCCTTTGCAAACAGATGCAGCCTGAGGGTCTGGAGGGGGGCTGTCTCTCCTCCTGTCCGGTTCCACAGATGGAGCCATTAAAAGCACCCTGGCCTAGATATCACTTTCAATGAACCACCAGGAGTGACAGTCTTCCAGGAACACAAACACGCAGAACAGAACAAGAAAAGAAAAGAGCCAAGCACTGGCCACTTACTGGTAGTGAATTTCTTTCTCCTGTTCTCCAGAAGCGCTGTTCTTCTCCAGGCTGTCAAGCTGATGCTGAATCGGAATGAGAATGCCTCTCAATTCTCAAAGCCCAAGGCACAACTCTGTCTTTCCCCACAGAGAGAGATGAGCGGGGGGAGCATAGCTGGCACCACCTCTTTGGACAATTGGGCAACATCTTACAAAATGACAAATGCATGTGCCCTCTGCCCCAGCATTTCCACTCCTGAAAATTTCCCTTCCATCACACCTGCACATGAGCGAGGTTATACACCGCAGCACAGTTACAAAGCAAGGGATACGAACAACCACAATGTTCATGAATAAGAGGCCTGGTGAGATCTACCTGGGTACATTCACAGATGGAGTACTACACAGCTGTCAAAAAAAACTAAATGACTGGCTTTCTGCGCTAAAATGAAAGAGCTGTGTATCAGACGTTACCTTTGACGTGTTAAAAACCACACTAATCACACACCCACGTATGTCATATAGACACACCTACTGGCACGTGCACAAAATATCTCTGGCAGGCTGTGTAAGAACTCAGTTACCGCTAGCTATGGTGGAGAGAGCAGGGAGGACTGTTTTCACTGCACACCCTTCTGACCTGTTGAACTCTGTCCAAAGTGACATTATCTTCAAGCACCCTGCTGTACGTGAGTGTTTGTGCAGGAGCCCTGCCTACATTCTTTCATTCAATCCTTTCAACATCTTTATAAGGTCTCGCTGTCCTGGTTGTACAGATAGCAAACTGAGGCTCTGAGAAGGTAAGTAATGTGCACACATCCTCAGTTTCGCTGGGGCCAGTATTCAAAGCTGTTTCACTCCAAAACAGCACAATGTGGGATATTTACAAAGACCAAGCACACTTCTGGACACCAACACCCCATGTGCCTCAAGAGAGTCATGCTGTTACAAAGTCTGATTTCCTATAGCAAACCTATGCCTGTCTTCCTGGGCCTCAGAAAAGGAGACAGCGCACGGAGATGCACCTCCCTGCTAGGCTGAGCGCTGCGCACTAGGCGGAGGACCAGAGCATACACAGCAGGCTTCCCCCGCCACCCCCTGCCTCTGCCTTCCTCCTGGCTTGAGAACAGTGACATCAGTCTGGGACATCCCCATGTGCCGGCACTCCCACCTCCGCATGGTGAGACCTGTGCCTGGTATTCATTCTCAGTGCCTCAGTTTCCTCATTTGTGAAACAGACACGAAAAGAATTACACTAACCCCAAAGGACTGCTGAGGGACTAAGGAGGGAAGATGACGTGCAGAGCCGGGCACAGGGTCCAACAATTAGCTCCCTGTTTTCAGGGACTTTCGGTAGTACAGCTGTTCTCAAACTGGTCTTAGGATCTTTTTACAACTGAAAAATGAGAACCCTAAGGGGTTTCTGTTTATGTGGTTTTGCCTATTAGTATTTGCTACAGCTGAAATTAAAACTAAGCATAAATTTATATGTTAATTTAAATAATAAACCCATTATATGTTAACATAAATAACAAGTGTTTTTCTGTCACCCTGGCTGAAGAGCAACGGCATGATCTCAGCTCACTGTAACCTCCACCTCCCAGATTCAAGCAATTCTCCTGCCTCAGCCTCCCAGGTAGCTGGGATTGCAGGCATGCGCCACCACACCTGGCTAATTTTTTTTTTTGCATTTTGAGTAGAGACGGGGTTTAACCATGTTGGCCAAGCTGGTTTCAAACTCCTGATCTCAAATGATCCACCTGCCTCGGTCTCCCAAAGTGCTGGGATTACAGGCACAAGCCACTGCACTCAGGAGTAACAGATGTTTTTCAGAAATGAATGTCCCAAGAAAAGATAAATATTTCAGGTGATAGGTAGCCCAGTTACCTGATTCGATCATTACACACTGTATACAGGTATTAAAATATCACAGATGCCAAAATATGTGCAATTGCTTTATGTCAATTTTTAAAAAAATTTTTTTACCCAAAAATCAATTTTAAAAATGTCTGAGGATAGTGGCTGGATTCTCATATCCACTTTTGCACTAAATCTGTTGAACTGCACTGTTTTGACTATACAGTATAAAAGAAAATCCAACCTTATACAGATAGTTGGAAAAGGGAGATTTTATTTTCAGATAATTGTGGATACTCTTCTTCGAAGCTACACTAAGACTTGATGAGTATAGTGCCTTAAAGGTTAGCTGCAATGTGAAATCTGAGTCCGTATCAATGAACTTTTGTACTCAGTGGCATTCCCATCTGACAGCCTGTCCTGCACTTTGAAAGGATTGTTTACCCATGCGTGATTTTGTAACATCAGGCATTGGCCATTTGGAAAGCAACAGTTCACTGAGTTATGCACTCTGGAGAGAATGAGTGAAAAAGGGAAATAATGTGTTAGTATTACCATGAAAATAGTTTTGACCTTGTGGATCCCCTAACAAGAGAATCTCACAGATGCCCAGACCACACCTTGAGAACACTGGGGTAGCAGATTTTTCTTTTTGAGACGGAGTTTCGCTCTTTTTGCCCAGGCTGCAGTGCGATGGCCCAGTCTGCGCTCACTGTACCCTGTCCCTCCCAGGTTCAAGCAATTCTCCTGCCTCGGCCTCCCAAGTAGCTGGGATAAGAGGCGCACGCCACCACACCTGGCTAACTTTTGCATTATTAGTAGAGATGGGGTTTTGCCATGTTGGCCAAGCTGGTTTTGAACTCCTGACCTCCAGTAATCCACCCACTTTCGCCGGCAGGTTTTTCTTATCCTCCACACTAACCACAATTTTTTTTTTTTTAAGAACTCAGAAAAAGAAACTTCTGTAGGAAGCGTGGTGGCCTAGCGGGGGGTCTCCATCCCGTCTGCACTATGATGCTGGCTCTGGAGCCTGCTGCCACTGTAGGCAGCTGGACTCCGTATACCCTCTCGCCCACTGCTGGCTGCCTCCCTCTAACGACCTGGCCCTGCTGGCTCTTCCCTTTATCATCAGAAGCCTTCCTCACCCACAGGACCTCCTCATCCTTCTCCAAAATAACAGACCTCCGGGGTCTGCAGAGGGCAGGCCCTGCAGCAGCAAAGTACCGGGGCCATGAGTGGACTGCTACACTTGGGCTTTGCAGTTGATAATTCTTGGTCTCCCAAAATTACATGTGTATGTATATTTACAGCAAAAACATGGGTGCCCATAAATAGCCAGTCCTTCATGTACACATTTTCAACATGTTATTTAGCCACCAAGCTCCACTGCATCCTCCTTCCTGGAACCTGGAATTGGGGTTTTCCTTCCCAGTCCTGCTCTCACCACTGCAGGCCAGGTTATGACCGGGCTCCTGAACCATCTCTTCCCACACCTACCAACCCAGGGCCAAATCCCGAGTTCTGCTGCTCAGAAGCCTTCAAGGCTTTCACACCCAAGCCTTGTTCAATCATTTCCTTTTCCAGCTTTGTCCCCGCTCCCCCACTCAACTTTAGCTCTTCCCCTCCCTTCCCCTCATTCTCCCTGCTCAGCCCCACAGCCTCCCCTCCGTAGTCTCTCCTTTCACAGCTGCACCCCACGTCTGGATTTTACATTTGTCAGCCTTGTACATGGTACAAGCTCAGAAAAGGAATGCAGTAAATATAGTGAAATCCGAACACCTACAGGGTGGTGGCCCATCTATGCACAGGGCACAGGGCATGCAGTAACTAACAGAACTGTGTCCTGTCTCCTAGAATGAATGTTTTTCTGCCCTCTGTCTGTGCTGCAGCACTGTAGCCTTTCTTCTGCTGGCCAGCACTGTTCACTCCTCAGGTCACACGTACTGTGCCCTTCTCTCTAGTGGCAGCTCAAGGACAGTGTTCAGTGTCATCTTTGCTGCCTAGAATTGATTAGATGCTTAATAAATACTGCTCAATGAAACAGGGATTAGCCACAATACCCAAGGGAGAAAGAATCAAGATGATCCAGAGATCTGTTGGACATACGTGAGAGTTCCCTGGTGCCTGCCTGGGGCTGCCATATTATGTGCAATATAATCAACGTGTATCCTGTTTAAACATTTTATTATTTATTTATTTTGAGACATAGTCTCGCTCTATCACCCAGGCTGGAGTGCAATGGTGTGACCTTGGCTCACTGCAACCTCCGCCTCCTGGGTTCAAGAGATTCTCCTGCCTCAGCCTCCCAAGTGGCTGGGATTACAGGCATCTGCCACTATGGCCAGTTATTTGTATTTGTATTTTTTTTTTCTTTTTTTTAAGTACAGTTGAGGTTTTGCCATGTTCATCAGCCTGGTCTCCAACTCCTAACCTCAGGTGATCTACCTGCCTCATCCTCCTAAAGTGCTAGGATTACAGGTGTGAGCCACGGTGCCCAGCCAGGTGCAATGGTTCACACCTGTAATCCCAGCACTTTGGGAGGCTGAGCTGGGCGGATCACCTGAGGTCAGGAGTTCGAGACCAGCTTGGCCAACATGGTGAAACCCCCTCTCTACTAAAAATAGAAAAATTAGCTGGGCATAGTGGCCTGCGCCTGTAATCCCAGCTATTCAGGAGACTGAGGCAGGAGAATCGCTTGAACCTGGGAGGCGCAGGTTGCAGTGAGCCGAGATTGCACCACTGCACTCCACCCTGGGGGACAGAGCGAGATTCCACCACAAAAAAAAAAAAAAAAAAGAAAATTTTTTTTTTTAATGCCAGATGGGAAAGAGCAAACCTTAACTCGTTTCTGGATGGTATTCCACAAACCAGACACAGCAAAGCGGAGATACCAACCTTCAGCAGCCTGACAAGGACATTAGATGCTAAAGGTCCCTGGTTTCAAGTCCCAGCACTGCCATTGTTACCTGTCAACCTGGTCCAAGGGGCAAGGTGCCGTGGCTCACACTTGTAATCCCAGCACTCAGGGGGGCCGAGGGAGGCAGATCACGAGGTCAGGAGATCGAGACCATCCTGGCCAACATGGTGAAATCCCCGTCTCTACTAAAAATACAAAACTTAGCTAGGTGTGATGGTGTGTGCCTATAATCCCAGCAACTCGGGAGGCTGAGGCAGGAGAATCACTTGAACCAGGGAGTTGCTGGAGGCTGCAGTGAGCCAATATTGCACCACTGCACTCTAGCCTGGCAACAGAGTGAAACTTTGTCTCAAAAAAAATAAAAAGAAAAAAAGAAAACTGGTCCAAGATACTTAAATTCTCTAAGCCTCAGTTTTCTCATCTGAAAAATGGGGGTGAAAATAACTGTTCCTACTGCAAGGTACCATTCTCAGAATTAAGAGAGAATACGTGTAAAGAGTGTAGCACTCTTCCGTGGGACACACAAATTTTGCTCAATTCATGACAGCTGCTGTTATTAATGTTACTGTTGTTGATGTCCATGGATGTGGACTTGATTCCTGTGATCATGTTACCCTACATGACAGAGACT